CCGCCCGCACACCCGCGCCCGCCCGCACACCCGTGCCCGCTCCTTACCCAGTTTTTACGAATTCTGCGCTTCCACGCATGCGCAGAATGCATACAGCGCCTGCGCGATCCTCCAGGAGCAGCTGGAGCATCGCGCAGACGCTAGTACGCATGCGCGCGCCGACGCCGCGTGCATGCGCAAGGACGCCGCCGCCCTTGTTCCAACCGAACCGGTTGGAACGGGGCGAGAAACCCACCCCTGGTCTACTCCTAAGAAACTTTCCCCCTCCTGCTCATTCATTTAAGTCATTTCTTTCGTCATTCCATACTCTAGGGCCAACTTGACAATTTCTTGAGAAGCCCCTATCTCTTATTTGGTTTCTTTCTGGTGCCTTTTGTCTGAGCAGATGGCTTCCTATCTAACTTGTAAGTTGGCTCCTGTAAACGGCTTGGAATAACAAAGGTTATCTTCTCCTGCTTACTGAACACATTTAGTGGTTAGCAAAAGCACAGTAACTTATTACATATTTTAGGCAAGAATTTAATGGTTTATATGTTCATTAAGTGAGTTTCGCTCCATTTTATGATTTTTCTTACGGTTGTTAAAGTAGATAACACGGTTGTTAAGTGAATCTGGTTTCCCCATTGAAACACAAACACACACACACACACACACCGGAACACTGCAACTGTTGTAAATATGAATCCATTGCCAAGCCTCTGAATTTTGATCATGGGGTCATAAGTGTAAAAAATGGTCGCCAATCCCTTTTTCCAGTTGTACGTTTGAATGGTCACTAAGCGTACTGTTGTAAGTCGAGGTCTACCTAAAAAACAAACATTGTAACACAATATCTGAGACTCAATCGCTAGGAAGGTGGGTTTTTTCCCCTGCCAAGGTTTAAGGAATTTTTATTAAAACAAGAATTTTATAATCTAAATTATGGTTCTTTGCTCCACTATCAATCCTTCCTGCTAACTACAACAGTGGTGATATCCTGAGCTTTTCCACAGTAAATTACAAAATTAAAGAAAGGAATGCTTTAAATGTTTTGTACTGTGCTGAAAATTATTTTCCCTCTTTTCCCTGTAATGTTTATAAAACATTAATTTGTTTTTTAATTTTTGCTATATTTGTTTTTTTTTGGGGGGGGGGATTTTAAATCAATAGGTAATCTAGGACTAGCAGTTTTGCTAGCCCTGGCATTTGTTGTGTACCTAAGCTTCAAAGTTTCCTTTCCTTTTTAAATTCATTTTATATTTTGTAATGTTTTTCTCAATTTTACCGTATTTTTCGGAGTATAAGACGCACCTTCCCTTCCTAAAAGAGTGTGGAAATGTTGGTGCGTCTAATACACCGAATACAGGCATTTTTGGCCTCCCAAAGCGCCCCCCCCCCCGCATCCCATTCCCAAAAACATGGGGGCGTTTTTTCCTTCCCCCAGCCCTGCTGAAGCCTGCAGAGTGCTCCTGGGAGCCAGGGAGGACAAAAACTTTTTTTTCTTACTTACCTCTTTGAAATCTTAGTGTGTCTTATACACCGGTGCATCTTATAGTCTGAAAAATGCAGTAGTAGTTTTTCCATATTTAGATTTTTTTCCTTCAGAGGAAGGTGTTTTAATCGCCCTGCTGATGTTTGAGTAATGGGCCCACCAAGTGACCAAGTGGTTGGAGTGAGGGGGGGAGGAGGAGGAGAATCAAGTGGGGAGGGGAATTGTGGCTTGATTGTGCATCTTTCTTTTGTTCTTAGGGGACACCTTATTTGTCGGTGGTTGTGGGAAACTCCTGGAATGCACAGCTGAGCAGCTGCATAAGAGCCTGGCGGAGGTCTTGGCCGGGCTGCCAAAGGAGACGGTAGGTTGGAGCTGCTTCAGAGGCCGCTGAGGTGCCAGCCAAGGAAAAGACCCTCCTGCCCTGTGCCCTGTTCCCATTTGAAGGCCAGCAGTGGGGAGAGAAGAGGATAGGAGGTTTAGTCTTACCCAAAGGCAGGCCTGGTCCTCCAGTCAACCCCTCAGCCCTGGCTGCCTCTGCTGTCACTTTCCCATGGTGGCCACCTTGCTACTACCCAACCCAGAAGCCTTTCCCAATTTCTTGTGCTTTTAAGTCTTTATTTTAAGATCCGTGGTGGCACAGTGGTTAGAATGCAATACTGCAGGCTAACACTGCCCACTGCCAGGTGTTCGAATTCTATTTCTATTATTTCTTACTGTATTTCTTATCCATTTCTTACATTCTATTCATATTCTTCTCTCTCCCTATTCTATTCTATTCTATTCTATTCTATTTTTTCTATTCTATTCTATTTTTTTTTCTATTTTTTATTCTATTCTAGTCTATTCTAATTTTTCCTATTCTATTTTTTCTTTCCTATTCTATTTTTTCTACTCTATTGTATTGTATTCTTTTCTATTCTATTCTGCTCTGCTCTGCTCTGCTCTGCTCTGCTCTGCTCTGCCCTACCTCTACTCTACTCTATTCTATTCTTCCTGTGATGACACGGTGGTTAGAATCCAGTATTGCAGGCTAATTCTACTGCCAGAGGTTTGATCCTGATGGGCTCACTCAAGTATCCTTCCGAAGGTCAGTAAAATGAGGACTCAGATTGTTGGGGGCAATATGCTGACTTTGTAAATTGCTGAGCAAGGGCTGTAAAAGCACTATTTATCTATCATCTCTCTATCTAGCATCTCTCTCTCTCTCTCTCTCTCTCTCTCTCTCTCTCTCTCTCTCTCTCTCCCTCCCTCCCTCCCTCCCTCTCTCGCTGTGGTGGTTGAATGGTTAGAGTGCAGTATTGCAAGCTAATTCTGATGACTGCCAGGGGTTCGATTCTGACCGGCTCAAGGTTGACTCAGTCTTCCCTCCTTCCGAGATGGGTAAAATGAGGACCCAGATTGTTGGGGGCAAGAGGCTGATTCTGTAAGCAGCTTAGAGAGGGCTGTAAAAGCTCTGTGAAGCGGTATATAAGTCTTAAGCTAGTGTGTGGTGTTTTGATATTCAAGCTCTGCTTAGTTCTGGATAGCCCTGAATTTTAATCTGGGATTGTAGTGGGAAGTGATTCAATTTTATGTCATGAATTTGTTTCGATAGTGATTTTTATTTGATTAAAAATGTTTAAAGCTGTACAGTGCCTGGGGAGCACTTAGGTTTGGCAAAGGACAAGAATATAAATTGAAGCATCCCTGAAAAGAGTGGATAATATCACATATGATTGGAATTTTTTTATGATTCCCCTCTCCCAGATTGAAGGAGAACTTGGAAAAGGTTCAGTTCCTAATTTTAAAAAAAGTAACCCTATTTTATGAATCACATTGTCTTTTTGCGTTTTCGCTTCCTCAAAAAATCCGAGAAACCACATTTCCAGTTCTTGACACTATTCACTAGGTGTTGTGGTCCACCGGCAGCCTGCGGAGCTGGCAGCAGAGTCGGACAGTGAGGAGGTTAGGGAGGAACATTGGCCAGTCTTGGAGTCTGGGGAAGGCTCGGACGAGGGCTCTGCATCAGAGGCAGAGAGGTGGCCAGGGCCATCTGGGAGGTTTATGCTGCCTCCAGAGCATCCAGAGTTGGACATCAGTGAGGCAGAGGAACAGGAGGAGCCTGTACCCAGTGCACACATACGCAGAGCTGCCAGAAGGCAAAAACAGTTAAGACAAAAGGGATAACTTGGGAGTACGGCTTGAAGGGGATTGGCCCCTCCCATAGGACATAAAGGAGGAGCAAAGACATGTAAGCTTTTGCAGGAAGCAACTTTGTTCGTTCTGTTCAGTTTAAATTCTGAAGCTCCTTTTTGACTCTTTGCTCTGTGTGACCTTGCAAGCTAATTGCCAATCAGGTCTTTGGCAGCATTTCAAGGGAGATAAAGTTGGGTGCTTATCAGCCTTATCCCAAAAGACTTTGGCAGATTTCTGTCGGACTCTTTACAAACTATTTGTGACTCATTACGGGCTTGTGAATGAACATAATTCACAGCCGTTGAAATAAAAAGAGGGTTTGGGGGACTAAGCGTGTGCTTTGTACTGTCTCAGGGAGCCAAGGTCACAACACTAGGGACTTTGGAGAGCACAGCAAGGAAGTTTGTGGAAGGAAGGGATTCCAAGGGGAATCACTCTTAAAGCGGTAGTCTGAAATAAAAAAAAAATCCTTTTCAGAAAATCTTCTGTGGACACGAGTACACAATCCAGAATTTGAAGTTTGCCTCAAAGGTGGAACCCGAGAATGAATTTGTGAAAGAAAAGCTCATTTGGGCTAAAGTGAGTGGTTCTATACTGTTCTCCCATTTTTTTTATCTCTCCAAAATGAGGGCCAAGAGCAGAGGTCTTCAAACTTGGCAACTGTGAGACTTGTGGACAAGCCTCAAAGTTGCCAAGTTTGGGGACTCCTAGCCAAAGAGGGAAAATTGACCCCTTATAAAAGTCAGAATTATAACCAATAACATCAGCCTCTAATTAGTTTAGTGATTGCTTCAAAGGTCTTGCTAGACTTTGGATTGTTTCAATCATGACTTCTGGTATAAGCCAACATCTGTGGCAGAACAAACCTTGATTGCTTTCAGTGGTGTTTGTGGGATGGATATGTGGTTTAAAAAAAAACTAACTCCGGATGGCCATGTGATTGAAAGACTCCCTTCTTTTATGCTTCCACTGCTTGCTTGTTTTTTAAAAAAAATCAAAAGTATTTGAAAATGCCCCCGTTTGATGGATCGGAGATAAGACACCGGGCTGTCTTAACGCATGGGCCTGTTGGGCTCCATGAGCATAGGGGCTCCATACTAATCTGTGTATGTTAACCCTTCAATGCACCTTGTATCATATAAATCAGTGGTCTCCAACCTTGGCAACTTTAAGACCTGTGGACTTCAACTCCCAGAGTTCCTCAGCCAGCAAAGCTGGGAACTCTGGGAGTTGAAGTCCACAGGTCTTAAAGTTGCCAAGGTTGGAGACCACTGATATAAATACAGCAACATATTTATGACATTTTACTGCATTTTTTAAATTAATACTAACATGGAAATATGTTTAGTTTTATCAACCATTTACATTTTTATCCCTGTGATAGTTGTTGTAGGATGCGGCTTTGCCTAGGGCCCACAATGCTGTTAAGGTGGCCCTCATCCCCTAAGCCTTTTGTAGTTCCTCAGGGTCAACCACAAGGCATTTGGTACATTTGAAAAGGCCTGTCATCCATCCCAATTAAGTTAGCTAGTTAGCAAACAGACTCAAGTGGGTTAGTTAGCCAAGAAAGACTCCTGGCTCATTGTTTCTTAGAGCAGTGATGGCTAATGTTTTTGTCGTCACGTGCTGAAAGCACATGCGCGCCCGCCCTCACACGTAATGCAATATGCATGCGACATGCCCTCACATCCCCCCCCCCCCCCCCCCCCCCCCCCCCCCCCCCCC